CTCTGTTATGGTAGAATTTGATTGTGCATCCACAGGCTCAGGTAATTAGGACTTAGCGAGGGCCATAAGCTGCACACCAGCCCCCAAACGGCAGTGCTGCTGTGTACTATGAAGACAGGGATTTGGAGTCTTCGCTCCCAGTTCCCAGCCAGAGCGGATTCTGTGCGAATACAAGTTTGTTAGCTAACGATGTCACCTTGGCTTGATTCATTTTTTTTTTAAACAGCAGGAACAATAAGGCCATTGAATCTGGCTTCAGAAGAATGAAAGAGAAAACTTTTATCTATTTTGAATTGACTTTTTTTTTCAGTGCTGGGGATGGAGCCCAGACCTTGCATGTGCTAGGTGAGCACTCACTGCTGAGCCCCAGCCCCAGCCCCTTCACTGAAATTTGTATTGTGTTAATTGTAGGTTCACATGCAGTGTAAAAAGTAACGCAGCAAAATCCATTGTGCCCGTGACTTAGTTTCCCCCAGTGGTAGGTAACATTTTGCAGAATTATAGTTCGCTGATGCCTGTCCGGGTGCAGACGCTCCTGTCACCTACGTGTCACCGCCACAGCCCAAAGGCAGGACGCTTCCATCCCCGCTGGCACTCCTCGTTGTCCCACGCAGCGCGCCCCTCTTCCTCCCGCCTCCTCTGCCCACCCCTAGCCCCGTCACGCTCTCTCCTCCAGTTCTAGAATCTTGGTGTTTCGGAAACATGGTGCAAATGGAATCCCAAGCACGCGTGAGGGTGAATTAATTTTATGTCTTCTGGACTGGGCTCGAGAGGCCCACATGGCTGGAAGAATGGGATTTCTAGATCTGTCTGAGTGTTTTCAGAAGAGGTGAACGTGCGAATCAGGTTGATGAATAGAAAGGATTCTCTCTCCAATGCTGGCCTCGTCCAGTCCATCAAGGGCTACAGAGACAGCAGAGGCAGAGGAAAGGCCAACTAGTTCCTTCCCCTCTCTTCCCTCCCCTCCTCCTCCTCCTCCTCCTCCTCCTCCTCTTCCTCCTCTCTTTCTCCTTCTCCTCCCTTACTAAGTGTTTAACATTTCCTTAACACAGGCCTTATCTCCCATTCATCTCCTGTGTTTATTGTTTGCTGTCTTCATGGCTGGAATGTAAGCTGCACAAGACACCTTTGTGGTGTTCACTAATGCACCCATAAGTCCTCCATAAATGTTTACTGAAGAAGTAGAGGAGTGATCTCTTAGGAAATATCTCCTGGTTAGATC